TCCTCACGCATGCCAACTCCAATTTCATGAGCATTCATAGTCCGCCACATAATTTCCATACCCAGATGTGGCCCTCGAGCCAAAAAGTTTACCCACCCCTGCCCTAAGGGCACGTGTACACTTCATCTGGGAATGAGCCAACAGGCCTGGATCCACAGACGTGAGCACAGCTTGTGCTTGCACTCTAAAAACTGCTGTTTAAACACTGCAGCTCAGGCTGAAGCTCACGGTCAGAGGCCTGGAAAGGGGTAGGCTTGAGAGCCTGTTCTCCAGCCCAAGCTGCAATGTCAAAGTACTGTGTACACAACTGTTCTTAGAGTGCTAGCTGGAACCTTGCTAGCACAAGTCTGTGGGCCAAGGGTGGGAAGCTTGCTGCCAAATACAGTGCACAGGCCCTAATAGGCTAATTGAGATGTTATTACCAAGTGATTAATTAGCACAGAGGTACATGAGGGACACACTGTGGATTTAGATACCTAGGATTTTTGGATAAAGGGAATTCTGATAATTAATTATACTACAGTGCTTTTCACTGGTAGATCTCAAAGTGCTTCATAATCTTTCAAATACGTATTCCCAACATCTCTGTAGGTGAAACATTATAATCTCCATTTTACAGATGGGGAACTGAGGCACAGAGGCTAAGTGACTTGCCCAAGGTCACACAGAAAGTCCATGACAGAGCTGGGAACTGAACCCATGTCTCCCACTTCCTAAACATGTGTTCTAACCACTGGACCTTTCTCCTGCCGACAAGGGGATTAACAAAATAATCTCTCTCCCCACTCCCTCGCCTTTGCAGGCATATGAGATGTAGATACAAGTAGTTCTTGCTCTCACTAGAAAATAAACACATTGGACAAGCTTCTAGCAGCTTCTGTTTCTGGAGCTGTGTTCATTTGGAGGAAAAAATCCAAAATTCAGGCTGGGTTATTATAGAGTACACTCTTCGTATAGAAAGAGTTATTTACAGAATTTTCATCGATATTAAAGCCAGAAGAGACCTTATAATCTTCTAGTTTGACCTCATCAGAGTATTATTATATCAATAAAGGACAGTTGGAGCCCTATGTGCCTGTCTGCTTATATTCTGGCCATGATGACAAGCAGCACAGATTGGGTGTGGAAGAGCAAGGAGCTGGAAAGACCCAGGCCACTTTCTTTCGACAGATGCAACCATTTTCCTTTTGAAAATTAATAAAGTAGCACCTAAAGGCCCTAATCAGGGACAGAAGACCCATTGTGCTGCACATCATACACACGTAGATCAAAAATGGTCCCTACCCACAGCTCTTACAATCTAAGTATATGAAAAATGTTTTCTTATCTTACCTGCATATGGATTTTACTTTTTTGAGCTCAGTGTCTATGACTAATAATAAAACCATGCAATGGGGTGCTGTACAACAAATATACTGATGAAAGAGTTGAAAGAGAGAAGAGGTTTTGATCAAGCTGAATGTGTAGAAAATTCAGTTTATTGCATTTTGACAAATGTTTCTCCTATTTTCTCTCCTCAGCAAAACCCACTCCCTATTTATTTCAAAAGGCTGACCAAGAGCTCCTGCATTTCCAAGACACTTCACCACTGCTGAGATTTCCATTTATTGTGTACAGATTAAGCCCTTTCAAAGGTTCTCTTGTAGTGCAGCTCTTTCATCATTGTAGTAACAATATCACAGAGATCAGAAAATCTGCAGATGGCCAATGATTACACAATGTATTTATTTACACTTGTGGACTATCTCCTCCTCAGTAAGGAATCTAACAGGGCCACTGGGATAGCTGTGGAAGAACTGGGGAACTTTTGCACAGGAAAATATGCTCCTGTGGTGGGTTTTTACACACTGTAAAAAAGCAAAGCAGAAGGGCATACATTAACTTCGCTACAATATAGCTCTTGAGTGACATCAAAATAGTGACATACAGAAGACACCAGACAGCCATCAAATTTTCATTAGTCCTCATGTTAAAATTTTTTTCCTATAAATGGTGGCATGCCAAAAGTTGTTGATCCCTGGCATAGAACATGGACACCAAGAGAAAATTATGTCAACCAGGATAAAACCGTTAAGGATCACAGTTCACATAAGCTGGGAATGGGTGACAGGGGATGGATCACTTGATCTGTTCTGTTCGTTCCCTCTGAAGCACCTGGCATTGGCCACTGTCAGAAGCCAGAATACTGGGCTATATGGACCTTTGGTCTGACCCAGTATGGCCATTCTTATGTTATGTTCTTATGTTCACACAACACACTTTGATTTTAGCAGCTAAATTTTCAGAAAATCTCATCCTCATTGAGCATACTCCAGCCTCTCTCAGCTCCCAGTGCTGACAACACTGCATAGACACCATCCCCACAAAGCAACTGAGCAGACTCTATCCTCTCTCAGCTGCTACTTGTGACAGAACTGCATGTGGGCCATCCCCATAGAAACAGAATTTCTGAGCAAGCTCCATCCCAGGGCTACTAGAGCAAAGCTGGACTTTCCCTCTACTGGCTGTTCCCACCTGCCCCAGGATAGACCAGGGTGTGGCTGAGCACAGGAACAGAGAGCCTCTATCCTCAATTCATAGATCCCAAGGTCAGAGGGGACCATTGTGCCCATCTAGTCTGATGTCCTGTATAATGGCCATAGAACTTCCCCAAAATGATTTCTAAAGCATAGCTTTTAGATAAACATCCAATCCTGATTTTAAAATGGCCAGAAATGGAGATTCTACCACAACCCTTGGTAAATTGTTCCAATGGTTAACTACCCTTGCTGTTAAAAATTTACACTTTGTTTCCAGTCTGAATTTGTCTAGCCTCAACTTCCAGCCACTGGATCATGTTATACCTTTCTCTGCTAGACTGAAGAGCTCATTATTAAATATTTGTTCTCCATATAGGAACTTACAGCCTGTAGTCAACTCACCCCTTAACCTTCTCTTTGTTAAACTAAATAGATTGAGCTACTTGAGTCTTTCACTATAAGGCATGTGTTCTAGTTCTTTAATCATTTTCTTGGCTCTTCTCTGAACCCTCTCCAGTTTATAAACATCATTCTTGAATTGTAGGCTCCAGAACAGGACACAGTATTCCAGCAGTGGTCACACCAGTGCCAAACACAGAGGTAAAATAACCTCTCTGTTGCTACTCCAGATTCCCCTGTTCATGCATCCCAGGATCACATTAGCGCTTTTGAACACAGCATCATACTGGGAGGTCATGTTAACCTGATTATCCAACACGATCTCCAAATCTTTTTCAGAGTCATTCCTTTGAAGAATAGAGTCTTCCATCCTGTAAGTATGGCCTACATTCTCGCATGCACTTACAGTTAGCTGTATTAAAATGCATATTGTTTGTTTGTGCACAGTTTGCCAAGAGATCCAGATCACTCTAAATCAGTGACCTGCCCTCTTCGTTATTTACCACTCCCCACATTTGTGTCATCTGCAAACTTTCATGGAGTCATAGAAGATTAGGGTTGGAAGAGACCTCAGGAGGTCATCTAGTCCAACCCCCTGCTCAAAGCAGGATCAACCCCAACTAAATCATCCCAGCCAGGCCTTTGTCAAGCTGGGCCTGTTGATTTTATGAATGAAATTATTTTGCTGTCGGCCCCAGAGCTGAATTTTCAAGGATATTAGCGGAGCTCTATACCTGACAACCCTTACCTTTGGAATTCTCTTCCCTTTATGACACCAGATTTGGAGATGCACAGGACATGAGATCACACAATTTGATTTAGCATTTCGGACATTATTTGTATGAAGGCAGCATAGCTTAAGGATACCTACACAGTTTACAGATTATATTGATTTTTTTACAACTATTTTTCAATTACCGGAGCACAAAAAGACATGTTAACACACATTTTCTTTATTTGTGTGTTTTTATAAGTCAAAATCATTCAAATCAATTATAATTGAGTTTGTCCAAAATACTTTAAAAAAAAAAAAAACACTTCCCATACTAAGACCAAAGATAGTTTCAACAACAACAAAGAATACGTTTGCCAAAATTAATGTCAGTTGAAAATAATGCTCATGGGTAAGATGCTCTTTGATTGGTTGACATATGCAATAGGTCTACATTCTGAACCATTAAATATTTAAGATAATTCAGTGAACAAATATCACTCAATGGTCCCTAAATCCATCTGGCAAAGTGACTAAATCTACATCAGTCATTTAGTATAACAGAAATCAATCAACAGGCTAGAACATTGTCACAAGTCCAAGGTTTCCTACTCTGGGAATAATCATCATTGCTTTGTCTTATCATTAATATTGGAGAAGAAAATAGCCAGCCTATAACATTTTCTCCACTGATATGCTCTCCTAATTTGGCCATATTAGAGTGGAGTGAATGAAATTAAAAATCTTTGTGATTTCTTTAAAAGCTCTCAACACATTCAGTTCATCTTACGTGACTGCAGCCTTATTTATACTACTGTTGACACATAAGCAAAAATTATGTTTAAGCACAGCTGACATAAAAGTATGCTTACAGACTACAACTTAAAATCTTTTATTTTAAAATTCTGTTGCAAGAAAAAAAAATCTATATGCACTGGTCAGGGAAACCACAACCACCATCCTGCCAATCACCACCACGCTTAAATACATTGCAACAGACAGATGGCCGCATACCTGCTTCAGGTGAAGAGAATGATTAGCTAAAAACAGTTTGCTGGCCAATATAATTTTTAACCCACATTTTAAATTTAAAATTCTGCACAATAAAAAATGAATCATTTCTTGCTCAAAAGTTTTCACTTATTTCTGCATGGGCAGCATCTGAACTGCAGCATAAAATATTACATTTAATTACAGTGATTTGGCTTTACCCATAACAATAACTTGGGCAGCGAAGTTCTAAATATTTGCATTTAAAATACTATTATTGCATAAAAACTTCTAAACATTTTATTAGTCACAATTATCTTGCAGAAGTTATATATAATTAACCTCCTGTAAGACAAGCATTCACAGTGATGCTACCTCACCCTTTGTAACTCCCACTTTTCTATAAGATGATCCACTTCACCGCCGAGAACGACAGTGTTACTGTCATCCAAAAGCAGGAATCCATTTTTCACTTCAACAATTCCTGACAGCTTAATTTTTGTTCCAGGTGGTGTGTTCAAGCTAAAAACAGAAACAAACAAAGAAAATCTCAAACATTACATATAGAGATTCTACCAGACAAAACCCAACCACAGGTTACTAAATAGCAGTACATTTAAATAGAGTGAAACAATGTTGACAGAAAACTACCTATAAATATGTTTTCTTATATAGACACAAATGATATTCAGTTACTTTTTAAATAATAATATGTCTGAACAAACCTATTTATGGAACCAAAGTCAATACTTCGCAGCTATAAAACACTTGAACCATTCTTGGAGTGGGTTGTTGGGATTAATTGGTGTTTTTTGCGAAATTTTTGATTTGACTGAAACAAACAATGCATAGGAAAAACTATCAAATTACTAAGATAAACAGCTACAAAATCACCCTTGCAAAGTATTAAATAATAAGAAATACAATAAATAAAACACAGTATTAGGATTGCATGTTTTAAAATAAATTTGATGTTCAGGAAAGACTCCAGATTAACCACGCGGAAAAGTGAATTGATCTCTTTAACTACACAACAGTTACAGCACAAGGAATGGTAATACAAACTTTCCCGCACTCCCCTGACATGTATGTCCCTGAACTCTGTTCTGCAGATAACAATTCTTTCAGGGAACAGTCTCCATGCCTGTTCAGTCTTTGACTTCTCTGCTTAAGTGCCAAGAAAGGTACTAATAAATGCCAATTTTGATGGCAGTTTTTTGTTATGTGGAACTCTTTCATTAGTGATTTTTGGATTGAAACACCTACTCATTTCACATAAGCCACTCATCAGCTGTCAGATGATAATGACTTCTCAGCAATTACCAAGCATGCCAAATTCAAGCCAGTTACATAGAGGCAACCCCGCATCCCCAGCCACCAATACTCATTTCCCCAAGCCAACCACAGGATATTTTGTTACTAATTCATTATTTTATTTCAGACCTATTGCCCTACGGCTTTATACTTGCAATTTTTATTAGCACTGGGCTACTATGGCAAAAAAACCTGCCTTGTGACCAAAATCTAAAAAATAAAATCATCAGGTTCCACTATAATTAAAACAGAGTATACCAGGCTGCAAAGAATTCTGTTGTGAAATAATATCCAATAACTACAAGTCACAACTACTTTAAGTAATGCAAACAAAAACCAAGTTCTATGGGGTGGACTGCACATGTACAACAGTATAACCAGTGCACAGGTGGAATACTTTGGACTAGATTGCGAGCCTGAAATTTGTTTTTCAAAGGAACTGGACAATCAGCTACAATTATTAGCCAACTATAAATTCACATGTTCCCTGGCACTAGCTTTAATGATCAACTTGCATAATAAGATCAGTGCTTGGGTCAGAGCTACTTTTCTTGTCTCTCCTTTTCCTGAGTCACTACCAGTTTCCCTAAACTTTACCACACAGAGGAACTCTGGAGAGAAGTTTAGGGTGGCTTTATGAAGACACAAGAGGAGTATGACAAAGTAAATATTGTTTAAATAACAATGGCTCTTAAGCAGCACAGGTTACATTAACAGTTACTTCAGTAGAGGAAGAAGAAAGCCCAGAGTGGTTTCTGGTACTATTAAGTGTAGCTACTGATGCTTTGCTTATATTGTATGCTAACAGAATACTGCAGTAGATCCACTGGCATACAGAATGGATAACAGATTTGAGATTTCAAGCTTTTATTGCAAATAAATACAGAGCATTTACCAGATCTACTAGACTGAAATTGGAAAAAGTACGTAACTTCATATACTGTTTTATTAAGGTATTTGCCACATGCAAGTGCAAATGACAACAAATGTCAGACTTATTTTTTTCCTTTTTTTTTTTAAAGTAGTACAACACCAATCAACTTCTGTTGTTGGCATCCTTTCATCTGTGAGACACAGTGGGAATTGCAGCCTATGATGTAGATGATTTGCAATGTCTCATGTGACTGAATAGGCCAATCCGAGATTTGCATGATCTTTGGCAGTTACTGTAAATGTATATATCTTAGTTGGGAGCTGCTTGCTTCCTACTGGCTCTTTTTTCCTCAAGCTGTAGGAGCCAGCTCCCAGCATGGACTTTGATACCCTGATGGAGACGATGGCACCACTTGTTACAATCACTTGCCAAGATTTCCCATTGGTCAGGATCAATTTCAAATTCCTTCATATCTCACTTGCATATGTCTTTATAGCAAAGCTTGGGATGTCCTGTTGTTCTTGTTCCCTCTGATAGCTCCTCGTAGAGCTCATCCTTGGGTATGCATCTACCTTCCAACCTACTCAGATGGCTCAGCCAGCGCAGTCGTCTTCACTTGAGCAGGGCTGTCACAGTTGGTAAATTTGCCCTTTGAAGATCCTCTGCATTGGTGACTTTATCTTGACAGGTTTCAGAGGAACAGCCGTGTTAGTCTGTATTCGCAAAAAGAAAAGGAGTACTTGTGGCACCTTAGAGACTAACCAATTTATTTGAGCATGAGCTTTCGTGAGCTACAGCTCACTTCATCAGATGCATACCGTGGAAACTGCAGCAGACTTTATATATACACAGAGAATATGAAACAATACCTCCTCCTACCCCACTGTCCTGCTGGTAATAGCTTATCTAAAGTGATCAACAGGTGGGCCATTTCCAGCACAAATCCAGGTTTTCTCACCCTCCACCCCCCCACACAAATTCACTCTCCTGCTGGTGCTAGCCCTTCCAAAGTGACAACTCTTTACATAATCAAGTCGGGCTATTTCCTGCATAAATCCAGGTTTTCTCACATCCCCCCCCCCACCCCCATACACACACAAACTCACTCTCTTGCTGGTAATAGCTCATCTAAACTGACCACTCTCCAAGTTTAAATCCAAGTTAAACCAGAACATCTGGGGGGGGGGGGGGAACAAGAGGAAACAGGCTACCTTGCATAATGACTTAGCCACTCCCAGTCTCTATTTAAGCCTAAATTAATAGTATCCAATTAGCAAATGAATTCCAATTCAGCAGTTTCTCGCTGGAGTCTGGATTTGAAGTTTTTTTGTTTTAAGATAGCGACCTTCATGTCTGTGATTGCGTGACCAGAGAGATTGAAGTGTTCTCCGACTGGTTTATGAATGTTATAATTCTTGACATCTGATTTGTGTCCATTTATTCTTTTACGTAGAGACTGTCCAGTTTGACCAATGTACATGGCAGAGGGGCATTGCTGGCACATGATGGCATATATCACATTGGTGGATGTGCAGGTGAACGAGCCTCTGATAGTGTGGCTGATGTTATTAGGCCCTGTGATGGTGTCCCCTGAATAGATATGTGGGCACAATTGGCAACGGGCTTTGTTGCAAGGATAAGTTCCTGGGTTAGTGGTTCTGTTGTGTGGTATGTGGTTGTTGGTGAGTATTTGCTTCAGATTGCGGGGCTGTCTGTAGGCAAGGACTGGCCTGTCTCCCAAGACTTGAGAGAGTGTTGGGTCATCCTTTAGGATAGGTTGTAGATCCTTAATAATGCGTTGGAGGGGTTTTAGTTGGGGGCTGAAGGTGACCGCTAGTGGCGTTCTGTTATTTTCTTTGTTAGGCCTGTCCTGTAGTAGGTAACTTCTGGGAACTCTTCTGGCTCTATCAATCTGTTTCTTTACTTCTGCAGGTGGGTATTGTAGTTGTAAGAAAGCTTGACAGAGATCTTGTAGGTGTTTGTCTCTGTCTGAGGGGTTGGAGCAAATGTGGTTGTATCGCAGAGCTTGGCTGTAGACGATGGATCGTGTGGTGTGGTCAGGGTGAAAGCTGGAGGCATGCAGGTAGGAATAGCGGTCAGTAGGTTTCCGGTATAGGGTGGTGTTAAAACAAAAAAACTATCTTAAAACAAAAAAACTTCAAATCCAGACTCCAGCGAGAAACTGCTGAATTGGAATTCATTTGCAAATTGGATACTATTAATTTAGGCTTAAATAGAGACTGGGAGTGGCTAAGTCATTATGCAAGGTAGCCTGTTTCCTCTTGTTTTTTTCCTCCCCCCCCCCAGATGTTCTGGTTTAACTTGGATTTAAACTTGGAGAGTGGTCGGTTTAGATGAGCTATTACCAGCAAGAGAGTGAGTTTGTGTGTGTATGGGGGTGGGGGGGGATGTGAGAAAACCTGGATTTATGCAGGAAATAGCCCGACTTGATTATGTAAAGAGTTGTCACTTTGGATGGGCTAGCACCAGCAGGAGAGTGAATTTGTGTGGGGGGGTGGAGGGTGAGAAAACCTGGATTTGTGCTGGAAATGGCCCACCTGTTGATCACTTTAGATAAGCTATTACCAGCAGGACAGTGGGGTAGGAGGAGGTATTGTTTCATATTCTCTGTGTATATATAAAGTCTGCTGCAGTTTCCACGGTATGCATCTGATGAAGTGAGCTGTAGCTCACGAAAGCTCATGCTCAAATAAATTGGTTAGTCTCTAAGGTGCCACAAGTACTCCTTTTCCTTGCCATTTGATGTTGAGTATGCAGTATAAACAGCATAAGTGTTCAACCTTTTCTCCTGATGAGCATAAATTGTCCATGTTTCCTGATCATACATGAGAGTGCTGATGACGCAAGCTTGGTACACTAGCATTTGGGTCTTGATGGTAAGGTTTGAGTTGTTCCATGCTCTTTTAGTTAGTCTGCTAAAGATGATGGCAGCCTTTCCAATGAGAACATTTAGTTCTTTATCCAATGAGAGGTTGGTAGTCACTGTACAACCTAAATAGTTGAACTTTTGGACTACTTCTAGCTGGTTTGCACTTAAGGTAATTGAAGGATCTTGTGGAACCCCCTGTCCTACTACAACTGTTTTCTTGATGCTGATGGCAAGAGCAAATGTCTGACAGGTACTTGAAAGGCGGTCCATGAGTTCTCGTAATAGATCTTCATTGTGGGCTATGAGGGCAGCATCATCAGCTAATAGAAGTTCCCTGATTAGCACCTTTTTGACTTTGGTCTTTGACTTAAGTTGGGACAGGTTGAATAGTTTCTCATCTGATCTTGTGTGAAGATACACTCCATCTTCAAAAAGAAAAGGAGT